AGCAGCAGACTCTCTGTGAGTGATGATAATAGTGAGTCTTATTTTTTATAATATTAATGACTGCCATTCATTAAGTGCTGGTTACATTCCAGGTTCCATTTGGTATATTGATACCAACAATTAAGCAAAATTTTTGTTTGCTTGTGTCACATCAAAAAGATTTAATAGATTTTCCCCAATTTAAAGAGATATGGTTACAAATATTGATGGCTTCACTTCCACTAAGTCGCTCTGTGAGGCCACTGGCAGGTGTGGGCTTGACCCCAAGGAGGAGTAGAAAGTGAGATGCAGCAGGAGGCTCCGGTGCCCAGGGGTGTGAAGGACAGGCCATGGTGGGAAGCATGTGAGAAATCACCGCAAGGATTGTAACCGGGAGCCCCAGGATGGTCGTCATGGACCAGCTGCTCCAAGGGAATCACGTTTATTTTAAGCCAAGTTGCTTCTCATATGGATGATTCAGTGACATATGCTGGAGAAGTGAAGGGACACAAGGGTTTTTGAAAACAGTTAATGAGTCTCAAGTAATGCCAGGAAAACTAGGCAACAGTTTGTGTTTGTGTCTGTACATATGAGTGCATGAGTGTGTGTCTGTTCATGTATGTGTCTATACATGTGTGCTTATGAGTATGTATATTTTGTTATGAGTATATAACACACACATATATAACACATATATGCATATGTGTTATATATGTGTGTGTGTGAATATGTATGTCTGAATACAGATTGTGCACAGGTGTATATTCATGCATATGTGTGTATGATGTGTGTCTATATGTGTATATATATATATATATATGGATGAGTGTGTTTTTACATATGTAGTGTCCATACACATGTGTACAACTGTCTGCACATGTGTGTATCTATCCACATGAGAGTACAAATGGATATTTGTGTCTGTACTATGTGTATTTCTGTACATATGTGTGTGTGTTAGTATCACCACCATTAAGAGCTTGGACAATGGAAAAAGAGACAACTGGGTTCAAGACTTCCATCATAATTGTACATCCTCTGGGAAGTTTCTTGACCTCTTTTTCTTACAGTCACTTTGTCTTTAGATTGGAAACAATAATAATTCATGCCTCATAGATTGTAGGGAGGGACATGTCAAAAAGTGTTGGTAGTGCTCTGGCTGATAAGCAGATAACAGCGTTAAGTCATCAGGATCACCACCTTTATCATCATCTCAAGTCCTTGCATCCCAAGGACACCGAGTCTGTGAGAGTGAGATAGCCCCCTCCAGTTTGGGATGCTAGCTTTGGTTGGTCTGTGTACTGATCAAAAGTGTCTTTTAGACTGGTGATACCCTTCTTGTCTTTCAACACAACCTGGGAAAACTAAGTTGATCAGTTCTGGTTATGACCTCTACACAAGGTTGCCCCATCCTCGTAGGTGACTGGGAGTCAGTTGCACTGTTTGCACATCTCTAGTTGAAAGCAAGGCAGTGGTCTTTGGTCTGGTGGCAGTGGGGGCTTCAGAGTCTGCTGAACCTGAATTTGAGTCCTTAATGCAGCACTGTATGACTTGGACCCAATTTTTCTTTATTTGTTGGTTGTTTTCCTTGTTTCTTTGGGTGTTTTTAGGACCTCAGATGTACAAACTGGGCTTCCCAGATGGCGCTAGAGGTAAAGAACTCACCTGCCAATGCAGTAGAAATAGAGATGCAGGTTCAGTCTCTGGGTCAGAAAGATCCCCTGGAGGAGGGCATGGCAACCCACTCTGATATTCTTGCCTGAAGAATCTCTTGGGCAGAGGAGACTGGCAGGCTTCAGTCCATGAGGTCAACAAGAGTCAGACACGACTTAGTGACTTAGTATGCACACACTTGTGTGAACTAGACTACTAGTAATCCTTGGTCAGTGATACACTCCCATTGGTATTTTCTCTTTATTTCCTTGTTTTCTAAATGCAGTAAGACCAATGAGGGGGTTTCCTAGGTGGCTCAGCAGGTAAAGAATTCACCTGCAATTTAGGAGACACAGAAAACCCGGGTTCGATCCCTGAGTCAGGACGATCCCCTGGAGGAGGAACTGGAAACACACTCCAGTATTCCTGCCTAGAGAATCCCATGGACAGAGGAGTCTGGTGAGCTACAGTCTGTGGGGTCACAGAGTTGGACATAACTGAGCGACTAAGTATGCATGCACATAAGACCAATGAGACCACCTCCCCAAACAAAAGCCAGGATTTGACAGTGACCTTCATGTAACCGTTAGGCCATTCCCTTATTTCATTCCAGCTCCACCTGCCCTGACTTTATCCTGAGTCTTGTGTTTGTTACTCCTTTTCTTTCCTTTCCATGCGCTCTCATTGTGTTCATAAGTAATCTAAAAAGGAAACTTTTAATTATAATTGTCTTTTACTTTTTATAAAGAATATAATGTTGCATGTAATCCTGTGAAACTAATTTTTTATTCAGAGATTCACCTACATGATGATACACTGTACTACATTTGTTTTGCTCTATTGTTCAATATTCTAATGTGTGAAGCATTTCCTAGTTTATTATCTGGTCACTTGTTGATGGGGCATTTGTCTGTCTTCAGAACCTTATTGTTGTAGAGAAGGCTATTTTGACATTGTTGAACATAAGTCTTCATGCACATGTTTAAGAATTGCTTGGAGAACAGTATGGAGGTTTCTTTAAAAACTTAAAAATAGAGATACCATATGATCCTGCAATCCCACTCTTGGGCATATATCCAAAGAAAACCATAATTTGAAAAGATACATGCACCCCAATGGTCATAGCATTACTATTTACAATAGCCAAGACATGAAAACAACCTAAATGCCTGTCAACAGGTGAATGAATAAAGATACATGCATGCAATGGAATACTACTCGGCCGTAAAAAAAATAATGAAATAATGCCATTTTCAGCAACATGGATGGACCTAGAGATTATCATACTAAGAGAAATAAACCAGAAAGAGAAATACAAATATCATAGGATATCACTTATATGTGGAATCTAGAAAGAAAAAAAGATACAAATGAACTTATAAGCAAAATAGAAGTAAGCCTATACAAATAGAAAACAAACTTAGAGTTATGAAAAGAGAATGGGAGAAGGGGTAAATTAGGAGTTTAGGATTATCCTGTCCACAATGCTGTACATAAAATAGATAAGCAACAAGGACCTACTGTTTAGCACAGGGAACTATATTCTGTACTTTGCAACAATCTATAAAGGAAAGAATCTGGAAAAGAGTAGATATAAATATACGTATAACTGAATCACTTTGCTGTTGACCTGAAACTAACACAACATTGTGAATCAACTATACTTCAATTAAAAACAATAACTGAAATGGAAAAAGAATTTCTCTTGGACAGATGTGGAATTGCTGCATCCTAGGGTGTATGAATGTTTAACTTTAGTACATAGAACCAAATGGCTTTCCAAAGTCAGTTGACCTAATTTTCACTCTCATTGGAAGGTAGGTCCACAGTCCTTTAACACTTGTTGGACGTTTTCATTTTTGCTAATTGAATGGTTATCTCACTGGAGTTTTATATTTCTCTGACAATTAATAATGATGAATACTTCTCACGCTTACTGGCGGCTGTGAAATGTCTCTTCCTATATCTTGATCACTTTTCTCTTGGGTGGTGATTTTCTTACTGGTGTGTAGGAGATGTTGAGCAAGTTACTTGACCATTTGGAGATCATTTTTGCATCTAAAGGTGAGGCTGATAGCTCAGTGTTCAGGGGTTGATTTTGGATTCATGTTTACATAACGTATGGTAAATACTGGCCTAGAGCACAATATATGATCAGAAAGAAAAGTTCTTGCTCGTTTCTTGGTCCCTCCCCACCGCCAGAGCCTCCATTTCGTAGACTAGCTTTGTTGGAACTTGCCCCATCTGCTTAGTTAGAGAATCTCTGCTTATTGGCCTGGCCAGTGTAGTCCTACTAATATTTTTATACTTTAGAGATTAAGCAATTCAGTGAACTCAGACTCTCTTGGAAGAAATATGGGGAAAGAAAGTTAGAAGGGAAGAGCTTCAGTGGAGTCTTTGGCAAAATAAATGAGAAAAAAAATCAGCATCATTATTTCATTTTGCTTTCAGTAGCCCTATTGGTAGATGTCTAAACTGTGTGTATTAATACAGCATGGGCTTCCCAGGTGGCTCAAATGGTAAAGAATCTGCCTGCCAATGCAGGAGATGCAGGAGATGTGGGTTCCATCCCTGGGTCAGGAAGATCACCTGGAGGAGGAAATGGCAACCCACTCCAGTATTCTTGCCTGGAGAATCCCATGGAGAGAACCCTGGTGGGCTACAGTCTGTGGGGTTGCAAAGAGTCAGATACGACTGAGCATGCAAACGCATTAATAGGGTATAGAAGAGACTTCCTTGGCAGTCCAGTGGTTAAGACTTTGCCTTCCAATGCAGGGAATGCAGGTTCGATCCCCGGTCGGGGAGCTAATATCCTACCAGCCTTGTAGCCAAAAAAACAAAACATAAAACAGAAGCAATATTGTAACAAATTCAATAAGACTTTTTAAATGATCTACATAAAAAATCTAATTAAAAATATGGCAGTTGTGGGAAACTAAGGATTTCTAAAATGCTCATCTACATATTTACACTGACAATTTGATACAAAGCAGAAGATTCTATGATGCCCGGGAGCCGGCGGTCCTAGGATGCCCTCTGTGACTTGCGGTGTTCTGTTTGCTGCTGCCGCTGAAGCTGCTTCCCAGCACTTTTCAGCGCGCTGCACAGTCATGCGGAGAAGCTACAGAGGGGCCGGGAAAACGATTCGGAGACAGGTCTGAAGGACACCGTGGGATGCTGTGCAGTGACTGCTTCCTGCCCCTGGCTTGTTTTTTCCAGCTTTGAATTCAAGGAGAGTAGCTGGATGTGATCGGAAAACAATTGCCTTTACCTCCCTGGATCAGTTTGTGTTTCCTTGAGTCTATTCCTGGAGGAATAGAAGCCAGGATGCCCGCACTCCGGTCACTTTGAAACTGCTGCATTGCAGCATGCCATCCTTCATCTGCCTCTATCTGTGCTCAAAGTCCCTCTTAGGATTTGGAGGTAACGTTTTTGTCTTCCTAACATGAATGTGTGCTTGTGAGAAGTGACCATTTATCAAAATCTGAACAGGATAAATGTTGAAGCAAGTCCACTTATAAATTCAACCAGGGAAATGTGAAATTCTTCTTTAGTGCCTGAGGCCTCTGAAAATGTTGGTTCATTCACGACTTTGTTATGTTGATTGTTCTCTAGTTTTTCTCTGGTTGGAAGGCTTTGCTTTTCAGTTTTTAGCAGGAAAACCTGGATGTGAGAATAGATGGGGTTTAGCTACAATGTCATCTCACCTTCTTAGTCTCTCTCTGCCAGTCTGATTTGTCAGAAAGTCTTTGCTCTAAGGACACACGCTTAGAGTTAGGAAACAGCTTTTGGTCATGATGGCAACTTCCGTGGAAGAAGTGGTTAAAAGCTTGAATGTGCTCCAAAGAGAAGAACGCCACAGGCTTGTGCTCAGGCTTTGCAATTCACAAGTTGTAATTCACTTTTCTTTGTGCCAAGAATTACACAGACTAGAATAGTCAAATATAACTTAAATTTATTCTGGCAGTAATAGTAAAACAACTTCATTAAAGCATGGATGATACCTACACCTCAAAGGGAGGGAGCTGCCTGTCAGTCAAGCCAGGGATCTATTTCAGGCTGGGGAGTCTCATGTCTGACATGCTCAGTGGTTTCTGTGGGTCTTTTGTGGATCACTGGGAAAATGAATTTTAGCAATAATTGGTTTTAGAAGTAACTAATTAGCAAGGTATGTATACAGAAGCAGCAGGAAACTCAGAAAGGTTTCTCTGCGGGCTCCTCTCTTGTTGAAATCTTTTGATCTTGACATGTATTTTATCAATTGGGTTCATAATATTTCCAAAGGGGGCTGTTTCCTGTGTCACCCACCTCATCCTGAGAGACAAGGGGCTTTGACTGAATAAGAACCCAACCCCTTTCCTGCCAACTACTGAGTTGCTAATTTCTCTTCTTTCTTTTTCTCAGAGTAACTTTCAAGAATAATATTATTATCTGAGAGATTTTGGTGTGATATTTTGAATATTATCTGTATTTTGCACCACACTTTATTTTTATTTGAATGTCTGTTTCTGAACTATTTCTCACATTTCTTTTCAACGAATCCAGAAAGTTTTTCAGGCCTATACAAAAATTAACCTTCTAGCATGGAAGTTACAGAGAAAATAGGTCTCCCTTAATAGAGCCATTTTGCTTCAAATGAACCTTTTAGTTGGAAATTGGTAGTTTTTTGCAACTTGCTGTTCAGTTGCTCCGTCATGTCCAACTCTTTGCGACCCCATGGACTGCAGCACTCCAGGCTTCCCTGTCCTTCACTATCTCCCAGAGTTTGCTCAAAATCACATCCATTGAGTTGGATATCACCCAACTATCTTATCCTCTGTTGTCCCCTTCTCCCCTCTGCCCTCAATCTTTCCCAGCACCAGGGTCTTTTCCAGTGAGTTGCCCCTTTGCATCAGGTAGCCAAATTATTGGAGCTTCAGCTTCAGCATCAGTCTTTCTAATGAATATTCAAGGTTGATTTCCTTTAGGATTGACTAGTTTGATCTCCTTGCAGTCCAAGGGACTCTCAAGAGTCTTCTCCAGCACCACAGTTCAAAAGCATCAATTCTTTGGCACTCAGCCTTCTTTACAGTCCAGCTCTCACATCTGTACATGACTACTAGAAAAATCGTAGCTTTGAGTATACTGATCTTTGTCAGCAAAGTGATGTCTCTGCTTTTTAGCGCACGAAGGGTGTGCCTGATTCCTCCAGAGCAAACTGACAACACTTGAGGAATGTTGTCCGCCTGGGAGCTTACTAGAGACTCCTTGCCCAGGAGTTTTATTGGTGGCTGATCCCATGGACATCCTCTACCACATTCCCATCAAAATTCCAGGCTCCAGGGGTACTCTTTTGCCCCCTTCTGATGCCTATGTCAGAAGCTTTCTCTATCTCCTTTATACTTTAATAAAACTTTAAAAAAAAAAAAAATTCCAGGCTCCTGGAGGAAAGTGGGTATTTGGCATAAGCCATGTGGTTTGTACGAACAGTTTGGGCCAAGAGAGTCATCTGATCTGTTGGAAGCAGAGGGAGCTTTCCCCCCTAGTCCAAGTTCCCAGGTACCAGCCAAGGGGCAGTCCTACAAAGAGGCCTTTCTAAGGATAGCATATCAACCTTGCCACGCTCATACTCCTCCACATGGGATCTGTTGAAGGTTATTGACCAGCAACAGTGACCTTGAAAACCATGGTTCGAAAGATTTCATGGGAGTGGAGTGGAGAGCAGAGTGGAGTAGTTGGTGAGACACTGGAGCCAGGAGATTGGAAATAACCTAGCCCAAACCTCAGATGTCAGTGTGAGAATAAAAAGAGGAGGGATGGTTCGTAGGAAGAATAAACAGGTTGGAGATAAGCAATGCAGGGATAGGAAGTGGTATCTAGGTCTGGGAGATGAAATACCCAGAAGGCTTTTTTCTGGTAGAGGAAGATTACTTAGATAGAGCCCCTGGATGGCAAGGGAGACATTCTAAATTCTGGATATATTGATATATATTATCTATATTATATTACAATGTATTATGTATCATATTTCCTACCTACAGGATGAGAAGGGAGACATTCTAAATTCCAGATATATTAATATAACATTTATTTATATTATTGCCTATCATATTTGTAATATTTTTGGGGCTTCCCAGGTGGCACTAGTGGTAAAGAATCCTCTTGCCAACGCAGGAGATGCAAGAGACTCAAGTTTGATCCCTGGGTTGGGAAGATCCCCTGGAGGAGGGTATGGCAACCCACATATTATTTATATTAATATATATTATTCATATTATTTATATCATATATATTATTCATATCATATACAACATATTGTGAAAGTGAAGTTTCTCAGTTGTGTCTGACTCTTTGCGACCCCATGGTCTGTAGCCTACCAGGCTCCTCCATCCATGGGATTTTCCAGGCAAGAGTACTGGAGTGGGTTGCCATTTCCTTCTCCAGGAGATCTTCCCAACCCAGGGATTGAACCCAGGTCTCCCGCATTGCAGGCAGACACTTTACCACCTGAGCCATCAGGGAAGCATGTCTTATTACACATAATCAAATTGTATGTATATTATACATTATAAAATATGCATATTTTACCACCAATGAGATACATTCAAGATATTGGTAAATTACATTAGAAAAACTGATTCTAACTTGAAATTCATGTCCAAGGTATGTTTTTATGTCATGAGTAGACAATGAGAGTAAATCACATAATAAAATAATTAGTGTTGAGAGGAAAATTTAAATTATATTAGCTGTAATGGACACACTGTTAACAGACATAATTTTAACCTAGAAATATTATTAATGTCATTTTAAAGTGTTATATTTTAGGCAACTTATTCCAGCATTTTATTCTACTTACCAATCATTAACAATTGGAATTCCTTTACCTGAGCTGTCTAATCTAGTCTTGATTTTTTTAAACAAAAATAGCTCTTGTTTTTTAAAAATTTGTCTGTAAGAAAGAAGTATTGTGTGAACAATTCCCTAGAGGTTTGTTTGCTACAAGGTATAGATTTCTGGTTGGAGCTGATTTAGAAAAGAAACAGAGGAAATGGAGTCTGTTAGGGGAATGGGAAGTGATGAGGTCTCTGGTCATTGAACCAAATTGATGAAACAATGTATGTGTACACAGCTTCTAAGAAAAACTCTCTTCTCACTGATTATCTGTACAACATGGGCAGATGCCAGCTGTCTGGGAGAGTATCTGTGCTGTGTCGCCAGTCACAGCGGCTTCTGAGAATCCAGTTATATTTCCTCCCCATAGTTCCTACCCTAAATATCCTGCTGCTGCTAAGTCGCTTCAGTCGTGTCCGACTCTGTGTGACCCCATAGACGGCAGCCCACCAGGCTCCTATGTCCATAGTATTCTCTAGGCAAGAATACTGGAGTGGGTTGCCATTTCCTTCTCTGGTAAATATCCTAGTCCTATTTATTGATTAGCATATAGCTGCTTTTGATTAGACTAATAACCACTTTACTTAACCAGAGCAATGTTTCTACATTCCTCATGTTTTGTTTTTTTTGTTTGTTTGTTGGTTGGTTTTTTTTTTTAGTGAAGGTTCTCTCTCACTTGCAAGGGCGGAAAATATAGTAACAGGTTTGGGATCATTTTTAGACCTGCCCATGTGGGGGAATACATGTGATGCAGGAGCTGGGCAAAGCTACTTCATAAATACATCTTGTGGAGATGACATTCTTGTGTTATACAAATTGGATGTGTCAGGATTTTAAATGTCACTTTGGGATTTAATGTGAGAAATTCCTGACTGGCATTTTCTTGACTTTCCTTAGAAGTGACCCCATAGTCACAGAAACTTAGTTTCAATTCCTTGCTGCTCAGATGTGAGATTTTTCTCTTTCCTTCTTGCAAGTCCAGCCCCCACCTACTCCTGTTCCTCAGAACTCTTGCCATCTTCTTTGAATGTCAGGACTCCCATGAGTGGGGGGCGGTGGATAGATGGGGCATACTGAATCCTGTTTGCCTTCACAAAGTAGAGGTGTAAAAGCAGGAAAAAGACTATGTTCTGAGAGAACATAGCATTGAAACAAGTATACTATCAAGGGTGAAACAGATCACCAGCCCAGGTTGGATGCATGAGACAAGTGCTCAGGGCTGGTGCACTGGGAAGACCCAGAGGGATGGGATGGGGAGGGAGGCGGGAGGGGGGATCGGGATGGGGAACACATGTAAATCCATGGCTGATTCATGTCAATGTATGGCAGAAACCACTACAATATTGCAAAGTAATTAGCCTCCATCTAATAAAAATAAATTGAAAAAAATAAAATAAAAATAAAAAATAAACAGGAAACACACACACACACACACACACAAGACTATGTTTCTCTTCCATGCAACTATTTTTTCTTATTGCTAATTCTTAAAACTCATATCCCGTATTGTTCTTAAGTACTTGAGTTAGGCATCCCAGTTGTTCAAACAG